CCCTGCAAAGGACATGAAGTCATCCGTTTTATGGCTGCACAGTATTCCACGGTGCCACATTTTCTTTGTCGCATCTATCATTGATGGGCATTTGGGTTGATCCCAAGTCTTTGCTATTTTGAACAGTGCTGTAATAAATATATATTTGCATGTATCTTTATAGTAGAATGATGTATAATCCTTTGGGTATATAACCAGTAATGGGATTGCTGGGTCAAATGGTATTTCTAGTTCTAGATCCTTGAGGAATGACCATACTGTCTTCCACAATGGTTGAATTAATTTACACTACCACCAACAGTGTCAGAATGTCCCTATTTCTCCACAGCCTCTCCAGTATCTGTTGTTTCCTGACTTTTTAAATGATTGCCTTTCTAACTGTTGTGAGATCGTTATCTCACAGTGGTTTCCATGTGCATTTTTCTAACGACTGTGATGATGAGGTTTTGTGTGTTTGTGTTGGCTACATAAATGTTTTCTTTCAAGAAGTGTCTGTTCCTATCCTTTGCCCACTTTTTGATGGAGTTGTTTTTTTCTTGTAAATTTAAGTTATTTGTAGATTCTAGATATTAGCCCTTTGTCAGATCGGTAGATTGCAAAAATTTCTCCAACTCCATAGGTTTCCTGTTCACTCTGATGACAGTTTCTTTTGCTGTGCAGAAGCTCTTTAATTTAATTAGATCCCATTTGTCTATTTTGGCTTTTGTCGCCATTGCTTCTGGTGTTTTAGTCATGAAGTCTTTGCCTGTGCTTATGTCCTGAATGTTATTGCCTAGGTTTTCTTCTAGGGTTTTATAGTTTTAGGTCTTACTTTTAAGTCTTTAATCTATCTTGAGTTAGTTTTTGTATAAGGTATAAGGAAGGGATCGAGTTTCAGCTTTCTGCATATGGCTAGCCAGTTTTCCCAACACCATTTATTAAACAGGGAATCCTTTCCTTATTGCTTGTTTTTGTCAGGTTTGTCAAAGATCAGATGGTTGTAGATGTGTGGTGTTATTTCTGAGTCTTCTGTTCTGTTCCATTGGTCTATATATCTGTTTTGGTATCAGTATCATGTCCAGCAATATTTTCTATGTTTAATAAATGTCAGATCACCTCACATATAACCAAAATATTAATTTTAAAAGTCTAAAATGTTTAATATTGATAAGACAGCAATATACATATTTTTACAAATTGATGCTTTAATATCTCTCCAAGATTAACTTTTCTCACAAAGAATTTTAATTACAACATTATAAATTAAAATTTTTGTTTTTAAATCTAAAAATCATTCTCTAAAATTCTATTACTTGCAATGAACACATTGCAAAGGTGCCATCAAATGTCTTATGGGTTATTTATTATAGCATCATCTAGTCTAGCCAAATGTTGCCATCAAATATGTCATAAAGAATAATGTTAATTTTTTTTTCTGCATGCTGAGATTTTCTAGTTTCTAGTTAGATGGGTACTGCTATACAAGTCCCTCACCATCCCTCACCCTAAGGGTAGGGATGCCAACCCATTCCCACCCTTATGTGTCTAATCCAGTGTCCTAATCTGCTTATCTTCCTCTATCATCATTTAATGTGTTCACTTAAAAAACTATCCTGCCATCCCAAATATAGTTATACAATTTCTACCATCCTCTTCTAAGTATGTACTGGCAAATTTAATGTTTAGAGATGTGCTGTAGAAAAACAACAACAACAAAAATTGGGAAAGATAAACCCATAAAACTAAAGGGTATGTTTTTGTACTTCAAAATAACATTTCAAAAAATGAGTCAACTAAAATGTTTAAGAAAAAATATTCAGTGGTTCAAAGGGAGTCCTTTTTAACTACTATAAATTAGACTGAAAAAGAAAAATACTGAATGTTACTCATAAAAAATTTAAAGTCAAGTGTATTATTTGACTAAATCTTACTGACCTATAATATAAAAAACTCACTCAGTCCAGCAATACAGAGCATTCTGAAGCTCCCTTTATCAGTCTAACATAATTTTGAAACCACAATTTGTTTTTTTGTTTTTCCGCTGTTTCAATTCTACTGTAACAATTTGAACAGAATCTATTTTAGATCTTCAAGGTCATTGACTCCTTGGTTAAAAACAAATTACAAACCAATTAAACACTAATTTTTCATTCTATTTTCATCTAGCTAAAAATGGCAACCCAAAGCACTTCAACCATCAACCTTGCTTGTGATGTACGTAAACATTTCAAAGTAAAAAATCTTGAACTAACAACATTAAGAATAACTGGAAAGTTCTGTTGTATTTATTTATACTAACAATATTTTATGATTATTTCTTTAGGCAAAATAAAGTTGTCCTCATCAGATGTTTATCCATATCATCTCTTGATTTTGCTCCTTTCTCTCAGTTTTAGTCTCTTCCCTTATTTCCCTCCGAATTCTGGACTCTGTGGTCACTGTTTATTTTCTAATCCTCAACTTGTCCTTTGCTTTCATCCTTAAATCTGCAATTCTACTTCAGTTCTTCAATCTGTACTTTCCCCCATACAATCTAAGAACTGATGGAGAAAACTTATGCAAGTTGTGCAGACCTGTTCAATAAAGATATAAAACTGATAATCCCAACTCTGTCCCTTGACATATTTACCTATCACTAACTTACCTTCAGTTAGATCCTCTCCTAATCCCCTTCATAGGCTATCAAAAGCTTTTCCTATTTCATCAACTGTCTACCCCATAGCCCACTTAATTCTCAGTACATGACCTGAGCTCATACTTTACAGCCAGTTGTGACAATTATACAGAAATGCCACTTCTTGCCTACACTCAGATAGTAACAAGTTACTATTTGAGGCCATATCCTTGCTTCCTTCCTTGCAATTTACAGAAAGAAACATTCCTCATTCCATCTAAAGCATTCTGTCCTGGATATTCTTAATATCATATCCTCCAGATCTGGATGATATTGGCCCATCATTCATCCTTTTGCTCAAGTCCCTCATATAAAACAATGTACTTATACACATCATTCCACATGTTTTAAATTATCCCTAGATTACTCATAACACCTAACACAATGAAAATGCTATGTAAATAGTTGCCATACTGCATTGCTTTTTGTGTGTGTGTTTTAAATTGTTGCTTTGTTATCTTTTATTTTTTTCCAAATTATTTCTGACCCAAAGCTGGCTGAATCCATGGATCTAGAACCCATGAATATGGAGGGCCAACTGTATATCCAACTGCTTAAACTCCACCTAAACATTCTTGAGATATCTCAAGTCAACTAATCATTTTTCACATTTTTCTCTACTCTTATTGTTTGTTTCTTTTTTTATTTTTGAGACAGAGTCTTGCTCTGTCACCTGGGTTGGAGTTCAGTGGCAAGATCTTGGCTTACTGCAACTTCTGCCTCCCAGGTTCAAGCAATTCTCCTGCCTCAGCCTCCCAAGTAGCTGGGATTATAGAGGTGTACCACCACACTCAGCTAGTTTTTATATTTTTAGTAGAGACAGAGTTTTGTCATGTTGGCCAGGCTGGTCTTGAACTCCTGATCTCAGGTGATCTGCCCACCTTGGCCTCCCAATGCATTTTTTATTTTAGCTGGCAACACCAAAATTAATCAAGTACTCAGGAACTACAGTGTCATTCTAGAATCTTCTGTTTCTCTCACCACTGCTCTATATCCAACACTTGGAAATTCTTTCAATTTACTTCTAAATTTTTTTATTTCACACCCTCATGACCACTGTTTAGTTCAGGCTTTCAACTCTCTTGGATTATTTTAGATAGCTCTCCCTCCCTTAAGTGATTTCCATACTGTGGTCTCAATTTCTCAAATCCATTATCTATATAAGTGTTATAATTAACTTACTGAAAAGAAATCAGATCATTTCTTTTTACTTGAAACACTTCATTATCTCTTTAGTCATTTTCCAAAACCTTTTATTATATGACTCCTAACTCTGCCTTCCTCCCTCCAATCCCTATGCCCCTAATTTAAAAGAGAAAACAAGACCAAACCAATGTTTCAAACTCTCTTGAACACATACCTGTGCAATTTAAGGTAACTGTTTGTACAGTTTATTCTTTTGCCAGAACAGCTTTCCTTTGGTGTGTATACCAGATAACCTTAAAATGTAGCTCTGGTATCTCTTTTCTGAAACCTTTCTTTTATGACTACTATTCCACAGTGATCCCCACAATGTAGAGTTAATTGCTTCTTCCTCTAGCCCATCCCTGTACCCTGTACTTATTCCTAATACTCTATTACATTACATAGTTGACCTTGCTATAAAAACTCAGAATTTGTGTTTTTATAATACATGATTCATACAGAAATACACTATATTTGATACATGACTTTACCATAAAATAAAGGCATATTGAAGGCAAGTATAGAAAACACTTTTACAAATTTTGAAAGAATGAACCAGGAATCCTTAATCAGAAATGAGTACTATGACATTCAAAGAAAAAAAATCACCTAAACAGCTCACATAGAAAAGATACTCTAAAAATGCACAGGTGTTAAGAGCACAGAATTTTTGTCCAAATACACATATGATACTTAACAGAGTACCTTAAAAACAGCTGTATGTTTTTTAAAGTTAACTGCTATTATAACTAACAATAGTATTATTAAATTAAATAACTAGACTTGGGTGAATTAAAAATTGTTCTAGGTCATAAGTACTTTTGGTTCTGGTACTAAGAACTGTAGATTCCACCAAACTCTTTTGTGTTTTTAAGGAAAAGAAAAAATCACTTGAGTGATTTCTTATTACACTAGTAAATGTGATAAATAATAACTATATTTTGTTACTTCCTAAGAAATTTTAATGGTTCTTTCTTTAATGCAAATCACTTCATCAACAAGAAATTCTACTGAAGAGATTTACCAACCTCTACTTGCTAGAAGTTTCCTTCTTACCACGCAGTAAAACAAATGCATCAGATGATTAACACAGCAAAATGCCAGGAAATTCTTTTCCTACAAATTTAAAAGTTCTAAAACAATTGACACAAGCTGCTTTTACCTTCAGGAGCATCTGCATCACATCTCTTTGGCACAAAAAGGGTTGAATTGCCTTTACGGTTATCAGAAGTTACATTTGTCTGAAAGACAAAAATGTAATTAAAATGTAAAAACCTCATTAATAAATACATTTGGAATTTAAAAGTAATCACGCTATGTACTGTATACTGTTTTCTACTAACTACATCTACCTAACATTCTAAAATGTAAATTTTATGCAACATTGCTCTTAGAAGAAAAATAATTATAGTAAATTAAATATTAAGGCTTTTTGCAATAATCCTTTAGGTCCTGTGTTGAACAACAGGACTTCTTCCCGGAACAAACAAATTCCATTTTTAGTACAAGTACAGCATCTGAAAAGAATGCTATTTTCAGACTGTGGAACATGCAAAGAATATCTTTTGTCCAAGCAAAAGCATAATCTTCCTTCATTCCTTCATAGGAGGATGTTTAATAATCATGACCTAGTGAGCTAGGTGAAGGGGATGAGGCAAGAAGAGAATAAAAAGGTAAAAGAAGTGAGAAATATGGTTCACGCAACTTTCCAAACTCAGGTCATTCATGTACCTCCATAATGAATTGTGCTTTATCTTTTTCGCCTACATTATAACTTAATATTTTTCAGTGAAATAGCCTTTTAACACTCAACAATATTATGGATGACACTGATTGATGGTTGGTATGTTTGTTAGATTTTTCTTTCTAATTGCAGGTTAAAATAAAGAAAGAATGGAGGACGTAGAGGATAAAAAAGAAACGATCTGGGCACACTGATTTTAATAATGAAAGACTCCACTAAAGCAATGTTTGATCAGGCCCTGAAACATAAATATGGTTTGAACAGTTAAGAAGTAGAGCAAGAGGTATTTTAAAAAGGAAACAAACTAAACAAAGCTTGAATCAGATATAGTCGGAATATTTTGAATTGTCAGAAAATCCAAACTTACTGTTCTATTAAAACTAAAAACCACAGCTGGCTTTTGAGAGATCAATAGCATCAATAAATCAGCAGAACATATATGAGGATACCCATCATGTTAAAAGAATGTCTAGTTATCTACAAATAAAATGTTTATAACAGCTTCTTCTAGAGGATTCATAGTGCCAATGAACAGACCTGCTATGCTCACTAAAACTTTTTTTTGGGAGCCATATTATTAAAATTACTTAAAATGTTATTTTAGAGGAAGTATTGTGAGTTTTAATAAAGTGCTAAGGTAAAGCTCAGTAGCTTAGCACCACGGGACACATTTAAGGAACTATTATAATGAAATTCTGTGTGTTGTTTCAAAAAAACAGTATGAAACAAATATAAATATGCTAAAAACTATAAATAAAAAACCAGTTTTAGCAACACTAAATTTAATCTGATAAGCTAATATCTTTTCCTAACCACTACAACTAAAATTTGACTTTAAATCTCACTATCTTTAAAATATCAAAAATCAAGTTTTAAGTATTTCACTTACCTCTATTAAGTAATTTTGGCTTCCATACATAACATATTGGGGAGCAAGACTATAAATCATGTAGCTAGTGTGAAGGACAATAAGCAGAAGTATCATGCAGAGAAACAGGAGTGCTTGAGGCCTGGTTCTACCTCTTCTGATTTTATATAACTTGAAAGAAAAGAGTGACAAAATTTCAACAATATATTTCATTTGTAAAGCATTAAATCCTGTTCTTGTATTATGGGAAATTATTTACAAAGTTCAATCAACCATTTTTTTTTTCCAAAATATATTCTAAAAATTCTTAATCATCCCAAACAATTTTAAGACTATTCCCATGGTCTATTTCCAGAGAAATCTTCTAAACTTATTGTGTAAAAGCATCTGTTAGAAGTGCATGGAGCTAATTGTGAATTATCTCTAGTACTAGCTAAAGATTAGGAGTATGACTTTAAACTATAAGTATTAGTAATATGTAACAATTTTATATAATTTTTAATATTGCTTAAAAATAGACAATGTCATGTGTTTATAAACATCCATTTCTATGAAATACTCATGTCATCCTTATACTTTGCCATAAAAATTAGTTTATGAAAAATTCTGATATATTTACTAAAGACATTTTCACATGTATCTATACTAAAGGGAAATGAAAACACATAGTAAATGAAACATAAGGAACCAGGCAACTTGCATCATTTCAAAAGCATAACATGCTTTTATTTTAGCAACTTAAGTATCACCTCCCTGTTTTATTACTAGATTGTAATACACTACATTGTACACTAATGTAGTACAGACTCCAATTCTAGATGGGATGACAGTAAATCACTTATAAATTTACACGTCCCAGGTTCTTTCACAGCAAGTAGTGGCATGTGATATTAAACATGAATAGGAAAGCAGAAGTCTGTTAAGGATGTCTGTAAAAGGCTTGTCTTATTGATATAGTTGCATACCCCTTTCTCCTAACTACCTTTCTCTTTACAGAATATGAACACGATAAAGGAAACTGCAGCAGTAATACTACAATCATGACAGAGACACTCAAAGAATTACAGAGATATTGGACCTGACTTTTTTGAGCTACTGAAGCAATACTAGATTCTTTTTTCCCTTAGCAAGAAAACTTTCATTAGTTCAAGCCACTATTCAACTGAGTTCTCTTTTATTCACAGCTGTAAGTAGTGTCTACCTGATATAGCTTCATTTTAAAATTGTTAATTCATCTCAAAATAAGCATAAGAAGAAAATAACCAATGACATGGTAATCTTTAACTATAACAGGGAGGGCTACCTTTTGGGCTTCAGTGTATCTGTTGTATTCTAATGTGTTTCTGTTAAGAAATTATGTAACTTTTGGACCAGGGTTTCTCAACCATGGAACTACTGACATTTTAGGCTGAATAAGTCTGTCCTGTGCACTACAGCATTTTTAATAAGAATCTCTGGCCCCTACTCACGACATGCCAGTAGCATTCCCCAATTATAACAACTAAAAATATCTGTAGATACTGCCAAATGTTTCTGGGGGTAAAATCACCCTTGTTTAAGAACAACTGCGCTAGATAAAAAGTACTTTTAGGTCAACATGAAGTGAAAAGGCTAGTATTTCTCTCAATTGTGGTATAAAAATACTTGCAGCTTCTATATTCTAAATCTAAGATAATTCGCAATAATGAAGATTACACACAAAATGAGAAAAAAATAATACTGTAAAATATACTTACTCTAATCCAAAAGAACCATATGCCAATATTTCGAATTCCTGCCATTGAAGTAAAAATAAAGTACATAATAATAATTGTTATAAGTATATAATCAAGAGGGAAAACCTGAAAAAAAAGATGAAATTAAATTTAGCATATAAACTATAAGCACCCTAACAGTCATATAAAATAAACTAAAAAAACTCATTATTGTTTACTTTATCGACCTTGATTTAGATTAGGCTACTGTGTTTAAAAAAAATTCTCAGAAAACAAACAAGTACCAAACTATTAACAAAAACTTTAATACCATTATCCTAAGAAAAATCCTAAAGCAAATTAAGCTAAAACTGCATTTATCTATTAAATAAAAAACTTGATTAAACATTAAAACAAAAAATAATTTAGAGAAGGTCACCTTATATTATATAATATATCCCAAGTCAAATTATGTCTAACATAAAAGTCCAGGAATACACCAATATAATAATATTTAAAGCAACATGTCAATGTATAAATTATAGGCAAATAAAAAATAAAACTATCGAAGAATATAAGCATATGTCAAACTACTAATAGGTTTTTAGCATAATAATTTTATGTGGAACAGAATGTCAGAATGTTTGCTAGAATCTAGCATTTTATATTCTAGCAGCTACAGTATAAAATGATTGGTATTTTACTTACCGTTTGTAATAAAGGCAAAAGCATATTCAGTGGATTACTCAGGTTAGCTCCAAAAATTATGAAACCAGAATCTATTCCAGCTGAATGAAGGGCTTTATCTAAACTAAAAAAAAAATTATAAAGAATGAAATTTCTGTTATATGATCACATTTTTAGCAAATTTAGAAAAAATATCATAATTTAAGCATGAAAATACATCTGAGTCAAATAAAACAATGGATAACAAATTAAACGACACTTAAATATCTCACAGATACTGTTCGATTGATGAAGAATAAAGAAATACTCTATTACTGAATGTTTTAGCCATTCTTTGAGTTAATAGAACACTTCAAGTTAAAAAGCTACTGAAGATGAATAGCATACACTAATGGCATTCAGCACCAAAATGTATATTATCACAGAATTTGTATAAGTGCTTTAGAAAATGTGTCTACTGTACTTACTTTGACAAGAAGAGAGAAATTACAAACAGCAATGCAACTAAGATGAAAAATATTCCCCAGATGATCTAAAAGCAAATATATATTCATTAAAATATAGTTCTAAAAGCTGATATTAAAAGCACAAACCATTATATTCAATATTAGTTGCTAGAATATGACAATGACAACAAAAACAATCTAAAATACATTTTAATTTAGTATACAATTCCAGGCATTTATACCTGAATTTTCATTATGAAACTACTTGACCGAGAACATGTACATAAAAGAGACAAACCATTTGGTCTTCACTAATAAGCAAAAAAAATGAAACTCTTTGCTAGACCAAATACAAGGATTTATTCTATTACACTGAAATGAGACTTTAATGTTGACTGAAAAGTACATTATGACTAACACACAGACACATAGACACACATACAGACACAGACACACACAAATACACACACACACAGATGCACACGCCCCCCCCAAAACTGTAAAATGCAGTTTATATTACCCTGTTAAAATACAAAATTCAGAACATTTTTCCCATTGAAGTAATAATATATATAAATTATATGTATACTGGTTAAATTATATCACAATCCAGAAAAGCCTATACAAATGACATATTCCTGAAACAGTACTAACAACACTGAAAAACTTGTCATGCAAAATAATGTTTCTGTGGAAAAATGTCCTAAGCACTGTAAGTAGTAGAACACATTTCTCCCAATTGTAAGAACTTTATATTAAGATGGTAGAAAAAGAGGAAGAAAAATATTATAACTGAGTCTCTAATGAAAGTTTCAGAATACAAAAGAGGTGAAATCTTCCTCAAGTTCCAGGGACAACTAGGCTAAAGAGTTGGCAAGGCCAAACCAAAAAAGGGAAGTCTCAGTAAGCACAGTTAAGTGTGTTGGGCTCCTCCTTTAACTGGAATTGATATAAATAGATCAATGCATCTTATGAAATCATGACTGGTAGGGAGATTTTTTTCATCTAATTTCACATGACTATTGAAGTAAATCTTAGAATCCTGAGAGAATAGAAGAAGTAACACATGAACCTACCTAGCCTGAAAAGATGATTTTTTGAAGTAATTTTGGACCTGTGCTCTGGGGAATTCTTCAGTTATGACAAGGTGCCTTTGGGGCTCACTGGGAAGGAGAGAGTTGACAACGAGAGGGGATCAAGAAGGCTATAGTCATCTCTTGAAAACAGAGTTATATTGCATATACTATTTTTCATGCTGGGATTCCACAAAAGAATTCATTATTTAAAAAGGGTTTCATTGCAAAAGATTTTGAAGTGACTCCTTTACAGTAACAAGTGTTCATTGGTAGACAATATAAAGGAGTTATCCAATTTTTTTTTTTCTACCAGATTCAGGCATCTATATTTGGTACTGTGGTGAACTGAAAGGAAACAGCCTTATACTTATGATTCTCAGGTGAAACACATTTCTTCATAATAGCTGTTAACAAAAAATAGTTTGTAGCATGAGGCAGTATAACTACCAAGTACCAATTAGTAGTAGAAAAGCATGATATAGAAACAGCATTTGAAGTTAAGATTCCCTTCCTTTGATGTCCATTTTGGCACACACAAAAAAAAAAAGTTAAAAAAAGTTTTAAAAAACTTCTTAGCTATCTTCCCAATCTGTAAAGATGACTGACCCAGAGTTAGACTGCTTATTCAGTGACCTAACAGAACACAGAAAAAATGTAAAAATATAAATATTTTGTAAAGGCCAAGAAAACTATACATATTTACTAGAACTTAAATTAGTAGTTACAGAATCATATCAATGATGACCACATTGGATTGACCTAAATTCTATATATTACATTCTAGCTATAATGCCAATTTTAAAATAAAAATTAAATTATAGAGGTAACATCAATAAAAATGGAGTAAGCACTGAACATTTTATCCTCCATAAAAGCACATTCCAAGAAAAATCAATGGGGAAAGAAGAGCCTTTTTAATACATAGTTCTGGGACAAGTAGATACTCACATGCAAAAACTTGTATTCTTACCTCACACCATATAAAAATTAATTCAAAATGGACAAAAGACCCAAATGTAAGAGCTAGTAAACTATAAAAACTCTTAACAGAATACAGGTGACCTCTGGATTAGACTATGATTTTCTGGATAAGATTCCTAAATCACAAGCAACAGAAGAAAAATTGGACTTTGTCTAAATTAAAAATTCTTTTGCTTCAAAGGATACTATCAGGAAAGTGAAAAGCTAACACATAGAATAGGAGAAAATATTTGTTTTGTGAATATAAAGAACTCTTATCACCTTAATAATAAGAATACAATCCAACTGAAAAAAAATGGGCAAAGGATTTGAATATCCATTTCTTTAAAGAAAATATACAACTGGCCAATAAGCACCTGAAGAGATGCTCAATATCATTCACTAGAGAAATGTAAATTAAACCCACAGTGTGAACTGGAGAAATGTGAACCACACTACTTCACGCTCACTAGGATGTCTATAAACAAAAAAAATTAACAAGTGTTTATCAGGCTGTGGAGAAATTGGAATGCTCATATAGTTCTGGTGGGAATGTAAAATGATGCAGATGCTTTAAAAAACAGGCTGACAATTCCTCAAAAAGTTATTACTCAGCAATTCCAGTCTTTGGTATATACCAAACAGAACTGAAAACATCTATCCACACAAAAATTTGTATATAAATGTTCACATCAGCATTTTTTATAATACTAAAATATAAAAATCTAAATGTCCATGAGTTGATAAACTGATAAACAAAATGTGGTATATTCATACAATGGAATACTATTCAATATAAAAAAGAATGAAATAATGCTACATGCACATGAATAAATCTTTAAAAACATTTATGCTAAATGAAGACAGAAAATACCACATATTGAATGATTCCATTTATATGAAATGTCTAGAACAGACAAATCCATAGAGATACAAAGATTAGTGGTTGCCACAGACAGGGAGAATGGGGCAGACTGCTCATGGGTATGGGTTTCTTTTTCAAGGGAATAAAACGTTCTGGCATTTGATGGTGATAGCTGCACAATCTTGTGAATATTCTAAAAATCACTGCAGTTACACTTTAAAAAGATGAATTTCATGGTGAGTTATATTTCAAATGGCAAAAAGTTATGTAGGTCTGTAATCACTTATCCATATTTCTGAAATCTAAAATGTTCCAGAAATCAAACTTTTTTCCCTAACTCATTTGTTGATTAAACCTGACTTAAACTAACATGGGTCTTTTAAAAGTAACTCACTGTGAATATTAATTAATATATATTCACTGAAGAGCTATTAATGTGCTTGAAAGAGAGTAAGAGGGCTGCTGCTCTGGTTATTTTAGAGGGTATTTAATTAATATATAATATATATATATTCTAAAAAATGAAAAATTCTAAATTTTACACTATGTTTGATCCAAGGATTTTGGCTAAGGATTTCTGAACCTATATTATTGTTATGAACTGAATATTTGTGCCCACACACACTTTAAATTTTGTATGTTGGAGTACCAACACAATGTGATGATTTTGGAAGTAGGGTCTTTGGGAGGTAATTCAATTAGATGAGTTTATAAAAATAAGGCCCTGAAGATGAAATTACTGTCCTTATAAGAGAAGAGACCAGAACTAGTTCTCTTTCTGCCACAAAAGGACATAGCAAGCATGTGGCCATCTGCAAGCCAGGAAGAGGGAGCTGACCAAGAATCAAATCTGCTAGCAACTTCATCTTGAACTTTCCAGTCTACAGAGAAATAAATGTCTGTTCTTTAAGCCAGGGGTCACCAGCCCCCAGGCCCTGAAGTACCAGACCATGGCATGGCCAAACAGCAGGAGGTGAGCAGCAGGTGAGCAAGCATCACCGCCTAAGCTGTGCCTCCTGTCAGATCAGTGGAAGCATGAGACAAGCCCTTTTGTGAACTGCACATAAGAGGGATCTAGATTGCATGCTCCATGTGACAATCTAATGATAAATGTAATGCGTTTGAATAACATGATCTGTTAAATACATGTGTATACAACAGCAGAGAGAAAAAAACAACAGCCTAGTTGGATCTTAATAATCTAGGTAAGAAAATATACAGCAAGCATACATATGGAATGGATAAGGCTAGCTTGAATAAAACAAAGGGAACAAAGGGAATGCAAGGGAGACAGGAAATGTGAGAAGGTGTGATATAGGCCTCAATAAAAGAAAGGTCCACTATTAAATGGGGGTAGAAGAGAAGGACACCTTTAAAAAAATAACTAGAATTTAAAATCAAGAGCAAAGCTTGGCTGAAAAATTAAAGGATAGGTCTCACTTATACCCACTAGTCTCCAGTTTCACTTTTCAGTGGTAATTACCATGAATAGGTTCCCATGAATCACTCCAGAAATGGTATATGCTCACTGACACAACAATATTAACAAAAAGAGTATCCACCACAATATTAGCAATCTGAACATTAGTTTCAGTTAAAATACAACACATGCTGAACATTTTAAAGGATTGCTCAAGATAGGATTTATTTGTAAAGAAAGACATAGTGCTCCTATTCCTTTCAATGGCTCCACAGTACTTTCTAGTATGGAAATAACAATTCATTAAGCCAGTCTCTTACTGATGAACAATGATTGTTTTCACAATGCAGTTATTAGAGGCAATAGTATAACAAATATGATTTTTTAAAAAATTAGTAGACTTCATACATATATATATTATTGCACTTTAGGTTCTGGGGTACATGTGCAAAACATGCAGGATTGCTGCATAGGTACATACATGGCAATGTGGTTTGCTGCCTCCAAACCCCTGTCACCTATATCTGGCATTTCTCCCCATGTTATCCCTTCCCAACCTCCCTGCCCTCCATTGTCCCTCCCCTATACCCCACAACAGACCCCAGTGTGTGATGCTCCCCTCCATGTATCTATATGTTCTCATTGTTCAACACCCGCTTATGAGTGAGAACAAGTGGTGTTTGATTTTTTGTTCTTCTGTCAGTTTGCTGAGAATGATGGTTTACAGATTCATCCATGTCCCTACCAAAGACACGAACTCATCAT